ACATCAAGAGAAAATTCTGGCAAAGAGGGAGAACTTGGTCTTTTTGTTTGCTGCAGCAGAGAGAGAGATGTACGGCAGCTTCCACAACCAACTTCAAAGCAACAGAAAACTAAGCTAAACTGAAACCCGAGTTCTGTGGAAGCCTGACTCAACCATTCATGCTGCTTCTATTGTTCTAACTGTAAAAAAAGGACACCCAGGGCTTCACAAGCTGTTTCCTTTAATGGTTTGGAAGAGACAACTCAGCATTTCTGACTCAAAACCTTTGTTCAAGAAAAGACAAAATACACTTCTTAAAGCCATAATATTGTTATATATGCACACCAAGATCTAGATCATTTGTATATTTCAGCAAAAACATTGGTCCCAATACGGACCCTTGGAGCACTCCAGTACTAACCTTCTTTCTGCCTGAAAAATACCCATGAACCATAACTGTTTCCGATTCCACGGACCATTTTGTATCCACATTACCATTGTCTCTTCTATTCCATGACCTATACCTATCTTCACAAGTCTGCTGTGTAGCACTGTATTGAATGCCTTCTGGAAGTCCATGTACACCACATCATTGACATTGCGCCCAGCAATCCTCTCTGTTATCTCATCAGAAAACTCCAGCAAGCAATTCATTTAAATGGGGAGAGATTCCAGAAGTGGTGGTACAGAGGGATTTGTATGTACTGGTACATGAATCAGAAAATATTAGGATGCAGAAACAACAAGTGATTAAAAAGGCAAATGGAATTTTGGGGTTTATTGTAAGTTGAATGGAATACAAAAGTAGGGAAGGTTTGCTGCAGCTGTATAGGACCTTGGTGAGACTAACATGGAATACTGTATACAGCTTTGAACTCTTTATTTGTAAAATGATAGAATTATGTTCAAAGCAGAGCTGAGAAGGTTTACTGTATTTATTCCTGGGACAAAGCGCTGAACTTATGAAGAAAGGTTCAACAAAGTTGTAGGAAGAAGGTGGGGAATGATGTTAAACTGAATTGCTCATTCAGAGAGCCATTGCAGACACATTGGTCATTTGGCTGTCCTCCACACTACAACAATTCTATGATTCTGAGGTTGGATCTTTGCCCTGTAGAGTTTAGAAGACTGGGAGGTAATCTTGTTGAAATATATAAAATCCTGTGGGGATGTGACAGGTAGGTGTTTTGTGCAGTTGGCTCAAACTAGTGGGCACAGTTTTAAAAATAATGCATCTTCCTTTTAAGAGTTGTTCTCTACCTGAGAAGGCTGATCATTATATTTATCCAATGCTGTGGAGATAGATTTTTGATTTGGCAAGTTATTCAAGGGTTATGGGAGGCAGACAGGAAATTGGAGTTGAGAAAGCAATTATATCAATCCTGGTCATACTGCTTTTGAGCAGGTTTGAAAGGCCAAATGGCCTACATCTACTCCTCAGTATTATGTTCTTATGATCTTTGAGGATCCCTGACTTTAGTTGCTTCACCATCAGTATTCAGCTCCTTGGCTAGCAATTAAGGAATGGCTGTTTGGTTGAGTTACGAGAAGTGCTTAGGAACTGTACAACTGTACCTTAACATTTCCAGGCAATGTTAAGAGAGGAAAGAAGAAAATTTCAAAGAAAAGAATCTTGCACCTGGCAGAGCACCTTTAACTATTGAGTTAGTACATTTACCAATCTGTTGATAAACCTGTTCATGATTTTATCCTTACTGGTTCATGAATTTTGCTACAGCAATAGCAGCTTGTATTTACATAGCACCTTTAATGTAGTAAAATGCCCTAGTGTGTTTCACAGGAGCGACAGAATCAGACAGATACACTGAGCCACTTAACAAGATAAGGAGGCAGTATGACAGTTGACCTTACACTTGATTTTAAAGAGCATCTTAAAGGAGGAAAGAGTTGTAGAGGTTAAGGGAGGTAATTTCAGTGCTCAGGACCTAGGCAGCTGAAGATATGGATACCATTGACAGAGTGAAGTCTAGGAGACTAGGATTGGAGGACTGCAAAGAGGGTTGAAGGACGAAAGGAGATTACAGAATGGGGAAGGCACAGCCATGGAAAGATTTGAAAACAAGGATGAAAATTTTATAATCAAGGCATTGCCAGACTGGAGCCAATGTAGATCATTGGGCAAAGGAAAAGGGTAAGGACAGTGCATCGATATGCAGTCATAGAGTCATACAGCATGGAAACAGACCTTTTGGCCCAACTCATCCATGCTGACCAGGTTTCCTAAACTGAACTAGTCCCATTTGCCTGCATTTGACCCAAGTGCAACTGGGGCTGACTCTTGCCAGAAATCAGCAAGTTTCATGGAAGTTTCTCTTCATGTGCCGTAGTGAACTTTCTTGTGCTATCTTCCCAAACTTACCTCATTACCTATGTACCATGCCCTGTGGTGCCCTGCTTACTGTATTCTCCCATTCACCATGGTAGAAGTACAGAACACTGCTCACATATCCTGGGATTGCTGGCCACCAGCGTTATCTTTAAAATACAGTCATGAACCCAGTCAAATGCTGGAAGCCCACAGCTGCCTTGAACAATTCCTGTCAATTATCCATAGACATGTCTGACAGATGGAAATTGGCACACCGCTTTGCCAATAGGGACCTCTAGGTCCTGGTTGACAGGAAGGGCATTCAGTCACTGCACATGGAGCCTGCTGTGAGATGTTGGTGACTGATGGATGTCTGGAGGACAAGTGGCGAGCTGCAGTCAGCAGGTTACTGCTGTTTCACATCAGGATTTGTTGCTGTCTAGCTTCTACCTAATGCGTAGGAAAATTGGAAGCTGCAAGTTATGGGGTGACATGAGGTAATAAAGCGGACATTAATTCTTGTAGATAGGCTTCTCAGTACTCATTAGTGAGATATTGTTTTGCTGTTCGAGACTTGGTTGAAAATGGAACTTTTTGCACTCAACATCAAGAATCACATCATTGCAGATCTCTTGTGATTCATCCAGCTTTCTTGCCAATGACCATGTCATTCATACCTATGAAGATTCTGCCATAGATTTTTATCATTATCAAATTATTGGACCCTTAATTGACAACATGATACCTAATGGGATGAAGGGCCTTCAGTTCTTTTGCCGTCGCCAATACTATAAAACTGCATATGCTATATATTACACAGGGTTAGAATTCAGATTTGAAATAATGTTTAGTAATATTCTGAATTAACTTAAAAATTAAACAACCTCAAATGATCAGATGAAGATTATCTTAAAGTGGGATGTATTGTCTTCTGGTAGTTCACCTCACAATTTAAACATTTCTGGATTTAGTTCAAGTAGGAAATTCCCACTCACTTTTTATAAATGAATAGCTTCTCTAAGGGATACTTATTTGTAAATTTGGTTCAAATTGAATTGTGGTTACAATTTGGTATTCATTGGCCACTGAATCAAGATATTTGGGGACAATTTTTTGCCAACATTGAAGAATGTGTGAAGATAAATGTTCAATTTCTCCTCATGCCTCATTTATTATTGTTAGCGAAAAGTCACTGACATCTGTGCTTGTACAATTGAAAGAAAGAAAATATTCTTCAAAAGCCCCCATCAAGTATGAAATTGTTTACTGAGGTAGAAAATCAGCAATTCTAATACAGAATGTTTAGATGTATGGTATAATACAAAATCTGCTGCTAGAATTCCAATTTCAGATGGAAAGACAGAGCTGAAGTGATTAAATCAGCACCAAAATTCATTTGTTTTTGATTGAATAAACAAAGAATTTCACAGTGTAAGATTTTAATTTATGTGGTGTTTTTAGCGCGGCATGGTGGCACAGTGGTTAGCGCTGCTGCCTCTCAGTGCCAGGGACCTGGGTTTGATTCCTCCCTCAGGTGACTGTGTGGACGTTGAACATTCTCCCTATGTCTGTGTGGGTTTCCTCTGGGTGCTCCGGTTTCCTCCCACAGTCCAAAAGATGCGCAAGCTAGGTGGATTGGCCATGCTAAATTGCCTGTAGTGTTCCGGGATGTGTAGATTAGGTGAGTTATAGGGGGACGGGTCTGGGTGGGATGCTTTCAGGGTCGGTGTGGACTTGTTGGGTCGAAGGGCCTGTTTCCACACTGTAGGGATTCTATGATCTATTCTATGATCTTTTACAACATCGGAACTTCCCAAATGCTTTATAGCCAATGAAGTACTTTTTTAAGTGCACTCACTATTGTGATGTGAGAAACACAAAAGCCAATTTACAGAAGGAAAACAGCAACAAGATAGCCCAGTAGATGTCTATTTAGGGATGTTGGTTTGCAGAGTTAATATTGAACAGAACAATGGCTGACATCCATCCTTCTTATTTAAATTGAGGCCGTGGGATTTTTAGCATCCGTCTTAGAGGGCAGAGGACGACTTGTTTAACGTCTCATATGAAAGTCAGTAACTTAACAGCACAGCATTCTCTCAGTTCTGCTTGGGAAGCAGCTGTATGCTCAAGTTTGAACCTATGACATTCTACCTCAGAAATGAAACCAGACTGAGGGTGAGATTAATGAACTAGGTGAAATTGGCATTCCACTCCAGAGCTAACTAATCTGTATGACTAAAATTACATGCTGCCTTTCCAAGCTAAATCATTAGGGAAGATTGAAATGAATTTTAATTAGGCTGTGGATACATGAGAAGCAAATGGAGATGAACCTAGAACTTCCAGAAACCAGAATTTGATCTTCTCCGTTTGAAGCAACTGAGTTAAGTACTTTATTTAAATGTTATATTTTGAGTATTTTGTTAATGTTACTTGAATTCTAATTTAATTGGTGTTTGACATGTATAGATTTTTGTAATTTAGTTTAAAATTTTAGTTAAGTGAATATTGAAATAGTTAATCTTGTATTTATCCTGTTATTTAAGAGAACAATAAATATTTGATTACTTCGCTGTACGCTTAAAAAATCTCAACTGTCTACAGTGATGTGTAAAACTAATACTAAAATGTAAGGGTCAAATTAAAACGATTACGTTCTGATAAATGCCCTTTCTCTCCAATTCTTCAGGGAAGGGTTTAGATTTTCTTCACAAGAAGCAGCTTCAAGTTTTGGTGATGATCGGCTTTTGATAGAGAAGTTCATTGATAATCCTCGTCACATCGAAATTCAGGTTAATGAATTCAGGATTCTTTAATTGAAGATTCTCGGTCAATAAAATCTTGCAATTGTAACAAATTTATGCAAAGAAGTGGATGAACCAATCATTGACTTTTCACAAATAGGGTTTGGCTTTGAATATAGCCAATAATAGATGGGGGTACAGATCTTTGACTGGAATGGCCCTGCATGAAATGATTTTGCATATCCAATCCAGTTCCTAATGGATGTATTTACTCCAGTGGAAAACTGCTCCCTAATTTGCCACCAAATTAACAGTATCATTCAATTGAAGGAGTAAAATTGCTTAACATGCAAGCAAGCAGTGGGAAATGGTGGACCTTAGAGGTGGTGCATCTACTCTTAGCTTGATGCTGACATATGTTCGGACATAATATGGAGTGTTCTGCTTTGTAACTGATGAAGCTGGACTGCTTGCTTGGGGGTATTTGGTTCCTAGATTGGGTGTTTGCAAATGAATTTTTTCCATTTCAAGTGTTACAGTGTTTGAAAGCTCCGTTAAATTCATAAAATTGTGACTTCCTTAGGGTCATTGCCACAAACATGTACTAAATGTAAAAAAAAATGACCTCATTGCACGATCAGTCTTGAATCTCGGCAAATGTTGTTTCAGTACTCAGCCTAGGAAAAGGGAGAATTAGGACTGCAATTTTTAAATATGTAGATTTCATAGACTCCATTGCACTGAAACAGGCCATTTGACACAGCTGGTCCATGCTAATAATCATGTTCTGCATGAGCCTCCTCCTGCCCATTTTCATCATGCTTTTTCAAAGTATCCTTCTATTCCTTTCCCCGCTTATGTATTTACCTCAACCATTTCCTGTGGTTGTAAGTTCCACATTTTCACCACTCTGGGTAATGATTTGGCTTTTGAATGCCCTATTCTATTACTTAGTGACTATCTTATATTGATAACCCCTGCTTTTGGTCTTCAAAACAATTGGAGACACTCTGAATGTACCCTACATAATCTTCAAGACCTTACTGAGGTTATCTTTCAGCTTTCACTGGAGAACGTTTGATTTCCTAATGCTAATAAATCCCTCGTGCAGATGCACATGTATATCCTAAATTGTAAATAAATTTTAAATGAGCCATATAGAAGCTCGACACCATCCAGGGAAAGCAACCCACTTGGTTGACACTTCATCTACAGTATTAAACGTTTCCTCCTTCATCACTAATGATTAGTGGCAGTTGTATGGACCACATAGAACCTCCTCTGCAGCAACTCACCAAGGTTCCTTTCAACAGCATCTTCCACACCTGTAACCTCTACCATCTAGAAGTACAAGGGTAACAGCACATGGGAACACCACCACCTGCAAGTTCCCCTCTAAACCACACACCATCCTGACTTGGAACAATACTGTTGTTCCTTCACTGTCACTGGGTCAGACTCTTGGGATTCTCTTCCTGACAGCACTGTGGATGTATCTATGCCATATGGACTGCAGAGTTTCAAGAAGGCAGCTTGCTACCACTTTTTGAAGGGTAATAATGGATGGGAAACAAATGCTGGACTAGTCAACAAAGTCAAATCTGTGAAAGCATTTAAAAGAAAATAGATAGGGAGATCCCAGGTTTAATTCTGCAGTGGGCTAAATCAACTGATCTTAGCTGAGATACCAACAGGACACTACAGTTAGCCTCAATACCCTGGGTAGGAATGGGCAAAACTGAGGTATGGTTCATTGCTGTTCTCCATCTCATAATCTGTGCTGGGGATGTGCTTGTGTTCTGCTGGGGAAGCTAAGCTGTCATGCCCATGAAGGCAATCAGTCTGCACCCACTCATTGTCAAGCTCCAACTTGAAAAATAGGCACTTCAGGACATCTAAAGCTGTAGTTGTATTAAGCACGATATCTAGTTATGCAGGATTGAAGAAAGGTTTTATACAGGAAAAGACAAATATGGGGACTTAATGGAAAACAAAATTTGTTTTCATATGGTAAATATAATTTAAAATATCCGTGAAAAAGTCTGGAACCTGACCACATATTTGATGGATAATACTCTTCTGGGTCCACTTGTTAACGTGCTTTTATTGTCCATGATTGTATCAAAGATCATTTCATACCTATAAACGCCTTTCAATGCAATGATATTTGCAGATTTTAGGAGATAAACATGGCAATGCACTCTGGTTGAACGAGAGAGAATGCTCCATTCAGAGAAGGAACCAGAAGGTAGTTGAAGAAGCCCCAAGGTAAGCCATTAAACACAGTGTCTAATAACTGTTCTTCAATAAAGTCTTGATCACAAAACAAAACTCATTTTCCAACTTTGAATCCTAGAAGACAAGGAAAGTTGTGGATGTTCTAAAGACCAGAATTGGAAGAGAACAGGGATCTTGGAAGGTTGTGTGATTGGAGGATATTGCAGAAATGGGGTGGGGGCTTTGAAAACAAGGTAGAAAATTTTAAATGGGTAATGCTGGATTATAGGTAATGTTGATCAGTGAGCACAGGGCTGATGTGGTAGTGCAACATCTGTGAGAGTTAAGGAATGGGCAGCAGAGACCAACCAGGAGAACATTGGAATAGGCAAAGTTTGCAGGTAACAAAGTTATGGTTGAGTAGCAGATGAGCTAAGGCAGTTCCAGAGATGGGGAGTGTTGCAGAAATTGCAGCCTCTGATGGACATGACTTATGCTCAATGTTAAATAGTTATAAATGATGTGTCCAGTGTTGGACAGTAGCCAGGAAGGGAGCTGGAAACTGTGGTGAGGGAACAAAATCTTTCCTGGGGACCAAAAACAATAGTTTCATTCTCAGCAAATTTTAGTTGGAAGATATTTCCGTTCATTCAATAAACGCTGTCAAGCAAGTAGTCTTCCTTTAAAACTTTAAAACAGAACTTGGCTTCCTTTAAAAGCTTTCTCATAACCTTTTTAACAATATTTCTATGACTCACATCTGCCATGAAATGCTGTGGACTTTTACATTAAGGAAAATTAATAAATTTGTTCTACTTATTGTTAGTGTTTGATGTTATAAAGATAGAAAAAGACTTGCATTTCTCTGGAGCCTTTTACAACCTCAGAATAATCCCGAAACCCATTGCAGTCAATGAAGTCTTTTCTTCTACTGTTAAATGCAGGAGACACAAGAGTCACTGTGAGCTCCCACAAACGACAAAGTGATAAATGATAAGCTAATCCATTTTACTAATGTGGGTGGAGGGATGAATACTGACTAGAACTCTCTTATTCTTTGCGATAGTGATGTTGGGTCTTTTATGTCCATCTGAGAGGGCTGAAAGAGCCTCAGTTTATTGTTTTATCCAAAATGCAGCACTTCCGATAGTGCAGTACTCCTCCAGGACTGGAAGTGGGAATGTCAGCCTAGATTATGTTCTTCGGTACTATATTCCTTATACATTCATGACTGTGTGGCCAAATTCCACCCCAACTCCATTTACAAGTTTGCTGACAATACCATTGTTATAGATCAGATCTCAAACAACGATGAGACAGAATACAGCAAAGAGATTGAGTGCTTAGTGGCATGTTGTAAAGACAACAATCTCAGCATCAATGTCAGCAAAATGAAGGAGCTGGTCATTGACTTCAGGAGGCAGTGTATCAGTGGTGCTGAGGTGGAGATGATGGAGAGCGTCAAGTTTCTGGGAGTGATGATCACGAAAATTCTGTCCTTGTCCTGATGTGATGGTCAAGAAACACAACAATGCCTCTCCTTCCTCAGGAGGCTAAGGAAATTCGGCATGTCCACAAAGATTCTTACCAGTTTTTAGAGATGCACCATAGAAAGCATCCTATCTGGATGCATCACAGTGTGGTATGGAAACTGTTCTTGCGAAGACCGCAAGAAACTACAGAGAGTCGTGAACACAGCCCAGTCCATCACGCAAACCAGCCTTCCATCCACTGCCTCCATGTATACTTCCTGCTGCATTTGGAAAGCAACCAACATAATCAAAGACCCCTCCCACTCCAGTTATATTCTCTTCCACCCTCTTCTGTCAGGCAGAAGATATAAAAGTTTGAATACATACATGTATGAACAGATTCAAGATCAGCTTCTTCCCTGCTGTTATTAGATTTCTGAACAGACCTTGCAAATGTTAATTCTGACCTCGTCTGCACCTCCTCTGTGGCTGTAACACTGTTTCCTCACTCTGTTCTGCTACCCTGATGCACTTTATATGATAGGATCTGCCTGTACTGTAAGCAAAGCAACACTTTTCACTGTGTCTTGCTACATATGATAGCTTAGTTGGTGCTGCTACTTTTTTTTGCCTTTCTTTTGATGCAGCACTTTTCTGGACCCTGAAACTCGAAGAGCTATGGGAGAACAAGCAGTGGCATTGGCCAAAGCTGTCAATTATTCCTCTGCTGGTACAGTCGAATTCCTCGTGGATTCTAAGAAGAACTTCTATTTCTTAGAAATGAACACTCGTCTTCAGGTACAGAAAAAACGTGTCTTCTTTCCTTTTGAACTGCTCAGGAAAATAAAACCTGGAGGAACATTTTCCAATTGGCTAATTTTACAAGGTTTAAGAGGATGCAAATTTAAGGTTTTGGCTGAGAGGTACAAGGAATGGAGTATGGGATATGAGACAGAGTCTTTTTATATAGTGAGTGATGATGCCTTAGGCCTCTCCGCTTATGAGAATGGTGGAAACAGTGACAATCACTGATTTCAAAAATAAATTTGCTGGGTACTTGAAGGTATTAAGCTTACATGGTCTCAAGGAGAAGTGAGACTCACTAGATAATTGGCATGGACCCAAATTTGCCGTAGATGACCCCACGAGTATTTTGAACCCAATAGGGAATTCGAAAGTACGTTCTTTACCCAGAGAATGTGGAAATCACTGCTGCAGGGAATATTTGAGGTGAATAGCATAGATGCACATAAAGGGGAATTAGATGAGCACAAAGGAGACATATCCATTAATGGGGTGAGATGAAGGAGGTTGACAGCAGGCTCATGTGCAACATAAACACCAGCATAGACCTTCTAGGCTGAATGGCCTGTTTCTCCACCGTAATGTCTATGTAATTGCTGTTATGGTTGCTGTGTGCACATTGCCCCTTGCTTCAAAGTGACCTTGAGGAGGTGCAATTAAGTACCACAGAGGATCCCAGTATGTAGCTAGCCACAGTGCTTTGATATTTTTCCCACTTGGCAGCCAAAATTTCCTTTCAGTTTTTTTGCAATGGTGGATGCATGCTGTGTTACACTAAAAGTTATATTGATGTCAGCAATAAAAAGCAAGCCTTTTGAAAATAATTTTTCAAAGCAACAGTCTGCTTACCTCAACTAATGAAATGTGTTTTATTGAAATAACAAAAACGTGGGCTTTGCTTTTAAAACAAAAGAGCAGTATTTATATAGAAGTATGCATTTTAACAATCATTAGTCATTACTCTTCACTTTCGTGATGTTTTAGTTTAAAAAAAATAGGAATGGTGGTCATCAGGTTAGCCTGTTGCAAATTGATATTAAAATGTGTTTCATAGTATTTTGTTTACCTCTGTTTAAGGATCTCTGTGTTGTTTCACAGGAGGGAAAATAGTCGCACATAGAGAGCAGATTTATCAGAATGTTACTAAGGGTAAAATACTTCAGTCAGGTGGTGAGACTGGAGAAACTGGCGTTGTTTTTCTTAGAGCTGAGCTGTATATGGGAGGTTTAATAGAGGTGTTCAAAATTCTGAAGGGTACTGATAATTAAATAAGGAGGAACTGTTTCCACTGCCAGCAGGGTCATTAATCAGAGTTTACAGATTTAAGATGATTGACAAGATAACTAGATGAGAATATTTACAACTTGTTATGTTCTGGAATGCACTGCTCGAAAGGTCAATAGGAGCAGATTTAATAACTTTCGAGAGAGACTTGGATATGCATATTTCTAATTAACCTGTTTAAATGTGTTATGAACACCTCTGGAACAGGTGGGATTTGAACCCAGGCCTTCTGGCCCAGAGGTAGGGACACTACGAGTATACCACAAGAGGCCCTTGAGGACCTGAATATATACTAGGAAAAGGAGTAATTTGCAGGGCTATCAGAAAAGATTGGATATATTTGTTTTTTCTAGTTGAGATGCACTTAATAGCAATATATGATTGTTGTCTCAAAGAGAGTACTTGGTTCAGATTTTTCCAGTGATCTTTTCCTTTTTATCTATGTTAAATATTTCTTTTGAGGTTGAATAGTGAAAGTGGGAAGCTGTTGCTTTGTGTGTATGTGATGTGGAGGATCTTAGTCACCCTGCTAGATTAGTGGATGAATATTTACTGGTGACCCTAAAGAGAGTTGCCTACACACTTCTGTGGACTGAACTCGTCACAATTTCAACTTTTGAATGCTGATTGAATCAGGATGTTTTTTAATTTTTATCTTAATCTTGCCACTCCTTTGGCAGCAGAATGGGAGGAAATGACTTGACTTATTTTTTTCCATAACATTCTTCAATATTATTCCCAATTTGCTAAACCAACTAGTAAAGTTGAGTCATAGTACTGTGCCAGGTTGCAAACCTCACTTAAATTGATATTTAGAAATATTTCTTCACACTGTACAGACTAGGGTTGTATTCTCTGGAAGGTAGAAGATTGAAGGATGATGTAAACGAGATGCTTAAAATGATTCAAGAATTTGAGAGAGTTGATAGAGTGCAACTATTTCCTACGGTGGGTGACTCCATAACAAGGGGATAGAATCTTAAAATTCAAGCCAGACTTTTCAGTGGTATTGTTAGGAAGCACTTCTTCACATAAACATTAGTGGAAATCCAGAATTCTGAACTCCTCCAACCCTCTCCCAAAATATGTTTGAATGCCAAGTCAATGAATAGATAAGGATAGTGAAGGATCATGGAATCTAGGTGGACAAATGGAGCTTAGATACATATCAGCCACAATCGAATTGATTGGCCAAGCATGGTTGACTGCTCACTTTTGCTCTAATGCTGCTACTTCATTCTGTTCTTATCTATTGCATTGTGGGAGCTACAGCACCTCCTTTCATGGATGATGATATGGTGCCCTAGGTGATCATTCGTTTGCTCCCATTTTAGAGCCAACTCACTCAACCATTTTCATGTTGCCCGTTAGAAACATGGTCCAGAAACATGGAGTCAATTTTGGAATGTATGCTTCACTCTACCTATCTGCTTCCACCATCAGCACTGCATGTAGTAGAAAGGCAGCCCCTTACCGTAGTAGGCTCTGAGAGCAGATTGATCATGAGCTGTATACTCATGTCTGTGTGTAATGATTTTGTATTCCCCATGCAAAAACATTGTTCCCTTTAATCACTTTTTTTTCCAAGGATCAAATTAAAAATTGGTGCAATAGCATACCAGTAAAAGTGATTGGCAAAAGAACTAAAGGTAATATGAGGAAAATCATGTTTACACAGTCAGCGGTCAAGATCTGGAGTTCATTAATATGATGCAGGCAGATTCAATTATGCCTTTAAAAAGAGGACTGAGTATGCATCTGAAAAGAAAGGAATTGCTAGCCTAAGGCAAATGTGAGTAACTGATTTGGACTCGCTAAAAGCCAGCCGCAGACATGATAGGCTGAAAAGTCTCCTGTGCTGTAAGCATTTGATGAATTTCACGTCCGCATTAGTTTATGCGGTGGCTGCTATCATTACCATAGCAGGTAAATTAGCCTCTTTGCTACCAATTACATTGACAAATCCTCCTTAATGTTCATTATGAAATTTTCATATCTAAGAGAACTTGAATCAAAGCAATTTAAGATCATTATCAATTAGTCCCTCAATTTTCTTTTGCTGTTGTGTTCATTCATGGTTTTCATAAAAGGGAAGATATTAGTACGCATTGCAGTACATGAAGAAAATTCATTTGGAGCAAACATCCCTTCTTTGGCAGCTAGCCCAATCCAGCCATTCTGTGTGGAGTGGGAGATAAACCGTGGAGAGTCTTGACTTTGTACTCTGCTAGATATTAATTATCCATGAAAAATGTTGAACCCAAATTCTAGGCTGGTACTCCAATGCAATATTGGGAAAGTGCTGCACAGCTGGAGGAGTCTTTCTATTGAGATGTTAAACCAAGGCCCCATCTGCCTTCTCAAGAGGCCAAAAAGTCCACTGCACTATTCGAAGAAGAGCTAGTGAGTTCTGAATGATGCCTTAACTACTATTGACCCATCCAGCAAAATAGATAAACTAGTCATCCTGTCACTGCTGGTTGTGGGGTTTGCTGTGTGCGGATTGGTTGTTGTGATTCCTATTTTGAACAGTGGCTGAACTTCAAAATATTTAATTGTCTGTCAAGCACCTTAGAAAATACTATCATTGATGAAGGTACAATGGAATTGCAAGCCTTCTTCTTTTAATGCATTTAACCAAGTTATTGACTGGTTGAAAGTGATAGCCTGTGTTCCAGCAACCTTCTTGTCAAGCATGTTGTGGATTGTTACACCACCTTTCATCTTGTCAAGTATCTGGAAAGCTTGGGTCGCAAAAAGTCACTCTGCAGGTGTCTTACTTGAAGGAGATCCAAAGGCAACTAACAACTTCGGAGATGGTTCTTTACTGACCCCCCTCCACCATGAATTTCATGAAGCTGCATTTATGGGGCAACATGAATTACTATTTCCTCCTTGAATTATTTGAGAAGCCCTTTGTAAACGTCTCAGGTGACTTTTCTCTTTTTTTGTTGCCTTCTGGTCAGTGAGCTACTGCAGGTTAATCTACCGTGCTGGGCAATGCAGATGAGCTTGATCATCTTCTCCTTCAAATGTTAAATACACACACTTTCAGCAGGGGTACTGGATCACAATCAAGAGCTGAAACCTGGGCCAGTTTCTGTTCTTTGATACGCGTGGCTCCAAAATCACAGCAGGCAACTGTACCTGTGAGCTGAGTCACTGTAAATGTGTAGCAATGTCATAACCAGTGAGTATTTTTTTGGAAGGATCCCTCTTGAAGTCCCGTTCCTGGTCCTGATTGCTTTTTCTTTCAAAACATTCTTTATTTGACCAGTTCAGATCAACTGGGGAAAGATGGTCAATCCAACTTGTCATCACCTACTGTAAATAGAGAAACTAGTGAGAATCTTGTGCAGTGTTTTTGCAACAAAATGAAAATATACATTGGGACAGTTCAGCTGCTTATTGCTGAAGGATAGAAAAAGAGTTTTCTGCAATTAACATAGACAAAATTCAGAAGACAGAAGATAGTTTTGTCATAGTTGAAGTTTGGGCTGAATGTGATTGCCATTGATTAATAACTAAATTCCAGTTTAAAAAATAAAATCCTTCTTCTGCAGTCCCATTGGCCAGATTTGCACTATACAAACTGTTTGCTCTTTTAAGTAATGACTTTTATTAGAAAAATGTCAAAGTGTCAGTTAATTATGAGGAAATTTTCCTTGGATTAAAAGCTTCACTGAGTTAATTGCACCATCTGCTCTGTA